CCCTGTACTTTTCCCCCTTTCACCCGCCCCGCTGCCTCTGGAGGCATTTCCAGTGTGCAGTCTGGCAGAGATAAATGTAATTGGTAAGGTTAAAGGTGCCCGCGTCGTACGCCTTGACAGCAAAGCTGGGATCTGGAAGGTGGATGGACGGCGGGGGCATCCGCCGTGGTTTTTCCTTGCTGCCAGGAGCCCTCCGCACCTGACGGCCTGGCCTGGTTTTGATTGATTTACTTATTTTGCAGCGTCTTTTAAATGTATTTCCAGCTGGAGGTTGCCAGCGTCTCGGGGACCGAGTCAAGTCTTGGCTTGTCAGGCTAAAGGCCGCCTTGCGTCTCTGTTTCAGCACAAGCGTGGCGGCTTTGCACTTTTCCCAGAGTGCAGCATTTAAAAAAAAAAAGGAAAAAGAAAAAGTTAGCTCCAACTCACCTCAACTCCAGCCCTCCTCTGCTGGCAAGTTGTCCCAGGGTATCCACGGGATGCTGACGTGAACCGCAGCACCACGCATCGAGATGAGTGTGTTAGCCCGAATCTGATTTTTTTGGGTGGCTGCAATGGGCACGCTCTGCGTTGCTTACTATTACACTGTTACATTTAATGCAAGTTTCTGTTCATTTACTGCCAAATACCAAGAAGCAAGGGGAAAAAACACAGGGCACGGGAATTTTGGAGACTGGTATCAGCCAGGCCAGGGCTCCACGAAGGCCCTCTAGACACGCTGCTGCATTGCTAAAAACCATTACATTTTTATTGTGACCCTGTCTTGATTTGGTCAGGAGATAAAAATGCCGCTGGGCTGATGCGCCCACGTTACTGTGCTGGGTGGCACCGTCTCTTCTGCAGCGCGGCACCCACAAAAATCTCACCCTGCGTTCGCTCAGACTGATTCATTTTGGGGCAGGTCAAATGAAACCATACAGAAAAGCCTTTTCCGCTGATACCACGGCACTATCTCTACACCCGTACCTTCATTTTATTTGCGGCTTGGTAGGTTATTTATATTTCCTTTGATCCTCCTGATGAAGACAAAGTCGAAACTGCCTTTGCTTTCCCTGGGAGGCTTGTGTCATAAATCTGTATAAATGTTTTTGGTGGTACCGGAGAGGTTTTTATAGCTGAGAACTGTATGTACTCACTACATGTTGTGGTATTAGTCCTTTGATTTGAATTTTGGGGGAGGGTGGGGGAAGCAGGCTGGTGATTTGTGTTGGGATTTTTATTTTTCACACGACAAACAGGTGATGTATAAACTTGTGGGGGGGAAGTAGGATAGTTTGCTGCTGCAGGCATTGGCGACACGCTTGTCAGCAGAGCAGGGAGGGTCGGCCTCGTTGGACATTGGAAGGAAATCGCAGCACTAGCTCAATGTGGCAAAAGGGGGAAATAAAAGCAAGCCCTTATTGTTTGCTGGAGGATTTAGCTGCGCTCTGGAGCTGTTTCACACGCGTGAGCGACGCTATGTGCGGGTGCAAGAGATTTCCAAGCTTGATGGGGGGTGCGTTTTGTCACCCGCCTTTAGAACAAAATTGCGGTATTTGCAGGATAACAGAGAGTGTCACGGGTCTCGGACTGGCTCCCTTTATGGACAGCGGCCTGAATTGCCAAAAAAGGGGCTTAGGAAAAAAGGGGGAGAAACCTCCCGAAGTCTTTGCAGAGCCCTTGGAGCAGTGTCTGGCCGGGCCGCGCGGGCGTCTGTCGTTATTGGAGGTCTGATTGGTACGAACGAGGGGAAAGTGACTGACTTCTAACCGTGGAGCACGAGAGCATTTTGGCAACTCGAGCGATGGCCGGGGAAGCTGGCAGTTGCAATCGAGGGTGAATTATGGAAAATCAGATCGTGCAGTTCCTGTATTCCCTGCAAACCAGTAGGGACCTCAGTTGGATGCTTGCTGGCTGGGAAAAGGCCAAATTCATGTCTCAGTTACTGTGTAGCTCCATCGAAATCTCACCGGGACTGACTTTGGCCTAAAGAGGATAAGTAAAGGCTTCTGGCCAAATTCTGCCCTCGGTTAGACTCGTATAACCCCACTGATGTCACACGAATACATGAGGCCGGAGCTAGGTTCTTTAAATACTGCGTTTTAATTTCTCTCTCCGGTCCAGGGAGCTGAAGGGAAGCATCAGGAAGAAACTTCAGGGAGTCCAAAGCGTGCGGCAGGATCTTCTAAACATCCTGAAGCTCTCTGAGTGGGTCTCTCCATTCCCCGTCCCTGCACGGCCTCTTCATATTGGCCTCTGCAGTAGCCGGCCACGGCTGTTACAGGACATTAAATGACCAGTCACTTGCCTAAGCCCCCGGAGGAGAAAACCAAGAGGATGTTATCGTGCACGCTGTCAGAGTCTGGTGGGGCGAGATTACAGATACACGTGCGGCATGAGTTGGGGTTGTGCTAAGATAGGCAGAGTCTGATAAGCAGAATAGAAATGCAAAACGAATCTCTTTTTCTGTTTGACTTGGTCTGTTTTGCTTGGTGACCACCCCGGTGCCTGGTTTCGTCGTCTTTGTGTTGATCCCTCGAGCCATCCCAGGTACTCGTAGTTGCTTTTGTGGAACAGGTGCACAGAGGGAGCTTGCACTCGAGTGCCAAAGTGTCCGAGGAAAGAAACAGTTAATCAGCGTTTGAGCCAGTCATTGAATCCTAGGTTGCCTGTTTCCCAGGGTCACCGAGTCAGTCAGTTCATTTGGTGGCGGTGTTCATGAAGTTGCTTTTCCCGACTCAACTGCTCTGCCAGGGACAGTGACAGCTGCTCAGGATGTGGCCTTAGACCTGGCCGTCCCAGAAACTGAAGAATCAAAAGCAGCAAGAGGTAACACATGAGTCAGGTTTGTTTTGCACGGGATGAGGGTGGGCGAGACACTGGCAGGGTCAAGCTCAGAGACCAGCACGCCGACTTCCGGAGGGCATCTGCATCCCTGCCCGGCTGGTCCCAGGTCACGATGCATCTGAGCCTGGGCCTTGGGCACAACTTTGCGGCAAGCTGCATTGTACAGATGCAAAGGTACCTTGGATGAGAGCCGTCAGCCTGACCCGGGTTGGAGGCTGGGACGACACAACAGCCCAGTCCTAACTTCAGAGACTCGGGCCTGATAAACAGCGGGAGAAAGATGACAAAAAAAGGGTGACCATTTAAAAAGATTTTTTCCGAGCACTGGAGAAGAGCCAGCTTCACACAACCCGGGGAATTGTTTTTTTCCTTGATTTTCCTTTCTTGGCTTTTTAATAGTTTCCTCCCTTTCTTTCTTTTTTCTCTCTTTGCCACTAAAAAAAGGCAAAAAAAAAAAGGAAAGTTAGAAGGGAAAATAGGGCGTAAGGGAGCGGGGAGGGGAGAATTTAGTTGAGGGGACAAAAGCCAGGAAACCGATATTTCACCGAATTTTTGTTCCTGTAAAATGCTGTTTTGCTAACAGCAACTAAAATGTGTCATTCTGGATGCTGGTAATTGCTTTATTGAGCTTCCTTGTAAACACCAGGGACTTGAGGTGTCCTCAGCATCTCCATGAGAGGGCTGCTGAGACATAGGATCAGGTCCTGGAGGAACATGAGAGAGGGGTTTTCAGGTTAAAACCCAGGACAGTGCTATTCGAGTGCCTTCTGGCTTTACACATGCAAACGGGCCACGCTTGACGCGGGCAAACGGGCCACGCTTGACACGAGCAAACGGGCCACGCTTGACACGTGCAAAAGGTTTCCAGCTGGAAAGGTATTTTCCTGACTATAAGAACCCTGGATCTGGACCGTGATCTCTGCTATAGGCGACGGAGAGAACCGCTCCAGCTCTATGGGTGGATTTACTCCATATATTTACTCTCCGGGAGCAGGATCTGCACGTCTCTTATTTAGGGCATTTTATTTATGTAAAAGCGAGCGGGAGAGAGAAAGCCACAGAATGTTAGTTATTCACTGCAAATATTATTATTGGCATTTTGATCCTGTCAAAGCAAAGGAGAATCAAAACATCTCGCTGGAGAAACATACTCCAGCTTTGTCCCACAGACCTTTGAATGCAAAGATAAATATTTTTGAAGAAATGGGTTAAAAAATACTTTTCCTCCGAGTATTGTTTTATGGGAGGAGGGGAGGGCGGATTCCCTTGGGCCGCGGTTCTGCCACCCGGCCGAATTTTTTCACAGCACC